TATGAAATAAAATATAATGTAAAATTACATTTGAATCTTTACTGACATCATCAGAAAAAGAAAAAGGAGCTAACAGTTGTATTTATCTTGTAAGTGAATGACAAAAAAAAAAAAAACACTTTTTTTTATCGTAAGTTTTTATGTCAGGAAAAAAAAACTATTTTAAAATAAAATTTGCATATAAAATTAATATTTACTTTTCTGAAACTGAAGATGAATTTTTGTTTTTAATATTATGCAGTATAAGAAGAAGTTGGGAAATCCAAAAAAATAAAAGAAAAGAAAAATAAAAATTTTTGGATTTTTAAAATTTTAAATAAATTTTTTTTTAATGTATAGACAGGGACATTAATGTTAATTTGGAAAATAATTTATGAACAGGATTAATTAACAATCAAATTTCCATTTCAGTAAAACATATTGGACGTAAACCACTAGCGCTAATAATAAATTCGTAATCTCTTCCGAAACAATTTGTGCTCCTTGGAGTAAAAACTTTAAATGGTTTGCCATTTTTATGAAAAATAATAAAATTCGGCTTGGTTTTTTTTGAATTTAAATGTGTCTGAATAAAGCATTGTATAACAAAATCATATTCGTCAACATTGTCATAGCGATTTCAATGTTTTCGCCTTGCATTATGCAAAAATTTGTAAAAATTCTAAAAATATTTAAGATTTAGCTTGTTTCTAATATTTTTTTTTTAAAATTGAAGTTATCATTTAAAATACTTGATACAAGTGTGCGTGAATATGGTCCAGAGAAATAAATTATCAATCAAAACAGGTTTGAAATTTTATTCCTTTAAAGCTAATTAAAGATTTAGTCTGAAAAAACTACAAATTTTTAATATTTTTAAAGATGTAACAGTAGCTCAATTTCTATTTTAGTAGCTTTCTCACCTTTAAAGTGGCATATTAATTTTCTAATTAGCTTGTAAATACAATTAAAATTTTTCGATTTTCAAAAATTTTCACAATTGCCCATGATTATCTCAAAAATTTTAATTTCAATATATAAAGGTATTTATATATATAAGTTATATTTTTTGTATAACAGTTATACAATAACTGTTATAAAATAAATTATCTAACAGTTAAAAAAATTTCTTTACTTAATCATAAACGCATACGTAAAAATATATATACACATATACATATATATAGAGGAATTTGTATATTGCTTTCGCTTTGAAATATTATTACACTTAATATTACGAGTTCCACTTATTTATTCTTTCTTATCCAAAAAGATTTTTTGAATAATTTTCTTAAGTACTTTAAGAAATTTCAAAACAACATTTGTTTGATCCATAAAAAAAAAAATTGAATTTATTTCCATTACAATAAGATTGTATAGCTATATAAATTATACATACATATATAGGCACACCTAACCGTTATATAATGTGCAAAATACTCTTAAAATATGGTTTTGTTAAAACATAAATTACATAATTTGCAAAACCCTTGTATAATCTGGTTTTTTCCCATTTTTATTAACATCTCCTTTTATTATACTCATTAGGTAAAACTCCTGGCGAAGGGTCGATTATTTGTTATTTAGAACTTAGTTACGGATTTGCTCAAATTTTCATCAGGAATGTAATACTCGCGTTTTGCGAGAATTTGGTGTACACAAAATGAATATATATTTGATGTGAAATAAGATAAAAGCATAAATATTGAAACAGTATTTATATTTTGGAAAATTCAAGATCTACATATGCGTACAATACGCTTGTACTTAAAAATTGAATATATTTTGTACATAAAATATTTAAGTATATAGTATAAGAACTCAAAACTCATATAAAACAAGTAGATTTCTATATTTTGACAATAAGCACAATACGAAGAATATTCAGAATTTTATGTGCAAATTCCAATATACAGGAATAACATGCTTAATATTAAAAAAAATTATTTGTTCGTATATTTTTGTACAGAAATTAAAAGGAATTGTTGAAATTGTTAAAAGATTCATAACTAACTTTCTTCAAGTAAATTTTCTAACAAATTTAAAATTGAGTACAAATTTAAATTGAGGAATTCAAAGAATTTAAAAAGTAATTCAATTCTTCAATGTTGTTATATTCGAACAATATTGGTTGTATAAATACAAATTGTTATAGTTTTTGAATGTGATTCAGGTGATTTTCTGTTAAGTTTAAAATTTTAGGAGGTACACTAACTGAATTACTCGATTTTTTCATATTAAAATAATTTTAAACTATTTTAACTGTTATATTATATGAGTTCGAATACTTTCCAAACTAATAATCTTGAGTCACCCTATTTATGTGTATACTATGACAGTAAAGTATTTTTTTTTATTCCTCTTTTATTCAATTTACGACATCAGAGACATATTTTACAATTCTAAAATTTAAATATCGTATATTATTTATTGGTACCAAAAGTACCTATATATATATGAGAATAAAATTGAAATGATTTTGTGGTACCATTTAAAAAAAAATTGTTGAAATAAAATATTTAAAATAAATAAAAAGTGCTGAAGGAAAATTTGTGTTTTCCGAATTTTTCTTTTATTTTCTTATGATTTTTATAGACACATTTGTCTTTTATACAATTTATTACAAGACAAGTTATTTTTATATTCAGAGTTTTTCCTTCCTTATTTATTTTGTTCTTCCCTTTCTTTTTTGTTTTTCAAAGTTAAAAGGACTACTTTAAAGTAATATATAGGAAGTGAAGTTATTGAAAGAATTGAAAGTGAAAAATCCTTATTATTTTTATTTTTCTTGTTTTGATTCCTTTAACAATGTTAAATGGGTTATTTGAAGTTTACTTGATTGTTCTTTGTAAAATTATATTATTTTATGTATGTATAATGTGTAAATAGCAATTTGTTGTCAGCTCTCTATTTTATTCTATTCCACTAATTTGGCTTATATTATTTTGCTTTTTTGTAGGATGATCTTATTTTTTCGGTCTCAAAAGAGATTTTTAACAGCTAGTTTTTGGGATATTGTTATATAAAATTCCCTCATTTAATATTTAAGATATTGTCATGTCGATGTTGGCTCATTTCGTATTGATCCACGAAGTCATTCAGCAATTATATCCATAGTTATTTTAAATTAATTTCTAGATCCCTGATAAATAATATTGCATCTGCTTCGAGGTGAGACACATTCAGTGGCGTCATAAAGTCCAAAATAATTTGTTTAACTTATTTTTTTCATGATTCAAATTTCTCTTTGATTACAGTTTGAATTATCAAACCATAGATAAAATAGATTTCAGAGAAAAATTGAGCCAAACATTACAATTCACAATATCCTTACATTTTTATATATACATTTATTTACAAATATACTTAGCAAAACTATTAAAAATCCAATAATGATTTGACAATGAAATTCTCATCACATATTTTACTAAGATATTTTTTCATAAATATTTAATATCAAATATATTATAGAAAATTTTTTTACAACACAGTATTCAGATATGCGTCAAGTATGAGATATTTTGTAGTATACATAGAATACAAAAATATAGATGATATGTACGTGAATAATATTATTCTGCTTTTTATATTGATTTATTGCTTTCTAATTCAATTTTTGACACAATCATTAACATGTGGTATAAAAATGTGTTATTTGTTATGTAATAAAAATATTTTAATGTACGAATTGTATGTTAACACATTGTAAAATACGAAACGTGGAAAATTGAAATATGATTTCCAATTAAAGTTCAAGTTAACTTAATCGTAGGTTTTTTACGCACAGGTGAGTAAGTTTAAAATAACTATATAATAGCAGAATATCTTTGTAAGAGTGAAAGTGTTCAGGTTTTATTAAATTATTTGTATTGCTTATGTATAATATGTATGTATCTTAAAACTAAAATTAATGGATAATTTATTTGAATAATTAGAATGTATCAGTATTTCAAATGATATTTTGATCCGATCGATGTATTTGAGACGGGTTCAAGCGTGTCGTACGCAAACCTGTCCAGGACAAAGTCGGGTGTTCGCTCGGGTGTATAAGGTATCCGTCCGGACACGCGTATATATGCGAGCCTACAACCGTATTGCACGCTGTTTCAAGCCGAAATACATGCAATGCAGCTAGGGAAATCGTACTCTCTTTAGTGCAGATTTTGTGGAGACGGTGGCGGAAACCACCAGGAACATTCTCTGGGACTGCTTCGTACAGGTTTTCCGGAGTTGCAATTGCCTTGGGCCAGGTTTCTCGGAAAGTTCTATCCAATTCCCTTGAGGATATTTCCAGTTCTATACTGACAATAGGGATATTATAGGCGGGAGCGTGGGGAGGCTACATTTATTTGCGAATGGCTGTGGTTGTCCCGAAGCTACCTTGTCTTGCCCTACTCGAGGATATATCCTCATGATATCTACAAAGATAATTTGATATTTTTATGAAATTCATTAAAATTAACGCTGGCAACAGTTTTACAATATTCTTTGCAATAATTTTGCTTACAAAATAGGTTTGTACTAGTTCAGTAAATCTTTTATACAACAAAAATCCTTGACTGAATGCAGTAAAAGCACAGTTTGAGAAGTAATTTCTATACTTTAGGAAGCTTTTACATAAGGCTGAGAAATAAATTGTTGAAGGGGATTTTTATTCAAAATTTCCGCTTAATAAATTGTAAAATTAATATATTCGTCGAATTTTTTTTAATTCTTTTGGATTTATAACCACAAATTCCATTTAATTTACCATAGAAATATTTCCATTAATTTTAATCATAAAAAAAAATATTATTGTCATTATTATGAAAATTTTTTAATAACTTCAAAAGATAAATTCGATTTTAAGTAAAAATTGACTACAGAAAAATGCTTTACAATATTAATAAAATTTAAATTAAAAAAATATTATTAATTTTTTAAATATTAAAAACCACAAAAACATATTTTATTTATGAATGAAAAATGTAATTTTTTTTTTATAAAATAATAATTATTAAAAAAAATGGAAATTAACTTACCTCACCTGAACGGCGATTTGAGGCATTATGAAAAAATAAACCAGCTATGAGGGCTGCAATATTGGCAGTATATGAAGCAATAAAAATAACAGAAAATCCACCCCAAACATTTATTAAAAATTTATTAGGCCATGATTTTGGTGCTTTAAAAGCCACCAAATGTCCACATAATAAACCCCACATTACCCAGAGTGCTTTTTTTTGTTTTGACATCAATGAAAAAAAAATGAAAATAAAAAAAATAATTTATTAAATTTTAAAATATTTTTCTTTTTTATTTATTTATTTAATATTATATAAAATAAAATGATTGAAGGGATGAAAACAAAAAAAAAAATAAATTTAAAATTTTTTATTTTATTGATGGTTTGATTGTTATTTGGGGATTTATACGAGTATTAAGGATTTACTACAAATCGGATCAAAAAATTACAATTCATGTCCTGGTTTACTTTATATAATGTTATGGAATTATTGAAAGATTATAATAGATTTAAAGTTATTTGTTTGTTGAATTTAATAAATTTGGAATTCTATGTACGTATATTTGAACAAATATTATTTTTATATACAAGCATAGGTGGAAGAAATATATGCCATATTACGTTAATACTCATATGGTGAGTGCTTTTTTCTGGAAGATGCTAGATCTATTACAAATATAGTTGGTATAAAATCAAAAATGCAAAAGATTTGAGTTTAGTAATATGGGAAAATTAAGTAAATTTTCAAGGTGCTTTTTCCTACTATTTTTGGAAAAAACACAGATGTTGCAGTATTAAAGTTAAAAAAATTGCATACGTTCAGGCGAAATTTAGTTTCTTTCTTATTTGTAGATTTTTACATAGGTTAAAATATTTTGTCACGCCAAGAAGAAACGAAATGGAATTAAAATGGATAAAACCCAATTTCGTTTGGAAAAAATTAAATGTGACAACATTGATCGTTTCATTAACACTTAACTTTTTAATTATTATTTAAATGCCAATTAATTTTTAAGTTTTTCTAAAAATAATGTTGATTTTATTAAAAATTTTTCTCAATATCTTTCAATAGCTTTTACTTTGTATAATAATATTACACTGTACAGGTTAAAATGCTTAATATTTTTGTTTCCGAGAAAAAAGAAGCTGTAATAGAATCATTATTTTTTTTTTAATACTTATACAATAACATTAAATTCAAAACAAAACAATTATTTTCAATTATTTGATTAAAATATAAAAACAAAAAAAAAAAGTATATTTTAAGAAAATCTAACCATTAAATTTTTATTACCTGATGACATACTAAAGTTTTTACTACGTTGTCTTCCCCATGGGTTAAGACCAAATGGACTTAACCATTCATAAATTGCTACAGCAATTGCTGTGACATTTAATGATGTAAAAATAGCAATCCAGAGTTCCGGTGAAAAAGGTAATAAAAATGCTAGCAATGGTATTTCCGATTTACTTTGTGGTGCTGCTAACAATGTTACTCCACTATAAAAATATGGTGCACTAAAATCTATGACTTCCGCACGTGCTCTGAAAATGAAAAAGAAGTAAAGAAAAATAATTTAATAAAAAATTAATATAAGAAAAATAGAAATATATTATAGTGTGTGTGTATGTGTATACATATATAAGGAATAATAATAAATAGAAAGGCATTAAGAGAAAAATAATTGCGGAAATAAAAATTAATTTTAACATTTTCCATTTTCAATTTTCTATGTAATAGATCGCTTTATTTTGAATAAAAAAATTTTTGCTTACTTTTGGTATGTTATACTAATTGGAGCTACCAAGTACAATATAAATATAACATGTTACATGATCAAGTGAAAAGATTAAAGTTCATGGTCCTTGCATCTTAAGTACAAAAGACATGTGGACATTATTTAGCTATTAAGTTGTAATTATAAGAATAAAATATGAGAAATTAAATGGTAATTTGTACAATTTATTTTAAACGAACTAGTTTATGTAAAGTTTTATAAAAACTGTGTAACAATGATCAAATTCATTGGACTTTCGGAGTCCAATTTTTAAAGACGAATATGAAAAATTGGTGCCATCCATTAAAATAAAAATTTTTCGAAAAATTTTGAATTTAAGTTGGCAATTTGCTCCAAAAAAAAAATATTTAACAACCAATTTCAATAATTTAAAACTCAGCCCTCTGAAATGGATTTTATATAATTACAAAATCGAAATTTACCATTGTCTAACTATCATTTCTTATTCGATATAATTCCTTAGTCCTTGCTGCTGAATATACGACAATTGAAAACAATTAATAAATTTCAAGTTTTAAAAAATTATTTAACATTACTTTTATTAGTATTTTGGCTGTAAATAGCATTCTTGGAAGTAAAACATGTTTTGAGCAAATCTAGCCTAAACTTTACATAATTTATTCGTAATTTCTTAGCTAAATAACTTTAATTTTCTCGAGATATAAACTAAACAATTTGAAGAGTTTGAAATTGTTGTAAGATTAAGAAACTTCACTTAGGCAAGTTTTGCTTAAAGCAGCAAATAATTTCAAAACCACAAATTTTTTAAAGACTTTATAAATATTTGCAAGAAACGGACGGAAACAAAAAAAAAAAAATACGAAAATTTTCTGCCTGTTTTTATTATGGCAAAAATTTGTTGTATTTGGTAACCCAGGAAAAAAAAAAAAACATTTCTTTTTTTTTTTTTTAAATAAAAACACAAAAAATATTGTTGAGAAGAAATGAAAATTGTTTTAAAACGTGTTCTTAATGAAAGTTCACAGTTACATAAAAAAAGTTACAAAAAAAAAAGAAAGAAATCAAGAAGAGCAGATTTTTTCAAAAACTTCCAACTCGTAGTCAAGAATAGAGGTAGGTTGCTCAATATAAAGAAGAAAAAAAATATATTCAAACTTTTGCCCTTTGAGTACATTATATTTTTTATTGTTGTTGTTTGTAATGCTCGTATTTTATATACAATGTACTAAATTCTTCTAATTACATTAAGAAAGTTTTTAAATTGTTGGTTTGGGTTTGAAAAAAAGAAAATCTACAATACAAATAAAAAAAAAAAAAGGAACTTGCTTTAGGAACGTAATTTTCTCTCTTTTTTTTTTGCTTTCTTGTAACTTTCCTATATCTTTCCCAAGTGGTAATTCTGAATTCTTATGTGAAAAAGCTTTGGCTGACTGTGACTTCAGTTATCGAGAGGAGAGAAGAAAAATTTTTAAATCCTTGTATATTTTAATATTTTTGGTTATTTTTATTTTCTTTTCTTGTTCATTTTCTTCAACACAATTTATTACCTTGTGTTTATACAAAAAAGAATAATAATAATAAAATAAACAGGCACCGTGACCTCTACTATACTTATAGGTATAATAAATGCTTGCTACATACGTATATCTAATATGATGCTGTGTTTATGTCTATATTATGTGAACAGAATTGGTATATCCTGTATAAAACAAAGGATAACAAATATAGTGTTTTTTTTTTTCTTGCATTATACTTCTTGTTTTTGCTCCCTTGAGTGCTTATTTTAAAACATGTTTATGAGGTGGGTAAAGAACTTATGATTTTAATTAGAAAGTGTTTTTCTATATCCACTCCAATATTATGATTGCTCGCCTCTCTTCTCTTTAAAGTTTTAATATATAAATAATGGTATCTTGTGAATTTTTTTGTGATAGTATACTGATATATATTAAAGTATAACAGTTCATTTTATATATGTCTCAATATAAATTTTCCTCTGTTTTTTTTAGTGGTTGGTTTGCTTTATTTTAATGATGGTTTCTGGTAGTTATTAGATCATTTGATATAGCTGATATCCATTGAAATTTTCATTGTAGGGATATTTTTTTTTTTTTAGGAAAATAAGAACAAAAAATAAGAAAAAATTTTAGGTTCATTTTCTATATATATATATATATATATAGAGAGAGAGAGAGAAAAGCTAAAAGTTAGAAAGGACTGTAAATATATTAAGAGGCAATTTAATGTTTTTATTTTTATGTCACATCATTAAAATGTTGATGCTCTTTCTGTTTTTCATTTAATTTTATTTTTCTTTATTTTTTTGTTTTTTATAAAAATAAAGATATTGTCACTTTCATTTCATATTTAAAATTATATAATTCTAGAAATATTTTTATAATTATAAGGATATTTTTATTATTCCAAGAAAAGATCTAGTTTTGCGATATAAAAACCAGTTAAATTGTATATAGAGTTATAAAGGATTTAAAATAATTTTTATTTTAGGGACTTGGTTTTTTAAGGTGCGGAGAATTTAATTTCCTTAAAAGAGATTAGCTCACTTAAATCTCTCTAAAATGGGAAATTTTTGTTTTTTTTTTTAATAGTTTAATTTTCAAGATAAGAAAATTAAGATTATTTTTTTGTTATTAAAATGTTAATTGTTTGGAAATGTTAAAAAATATTTTGAGTTATAGTTAAAAAATTTAAGGAGAAAGCTTAAATTTAATTTATTAAAAAGATTATAGATGGAAAATGTTTTTAATTTTCTCATATTTTATGGTAGATATGGCAGCTATGTTTTAATTTTTATAAATAGATTTTTCTAGGAAAAATTAAATGAAAACAATTTTTAAAGTAGAAATATTTAAATTAAGTACAGCATTAAGAAGTCAAAATTTAAGGTTTGCTTAATGTGATTAATGAAAATTTTTATAATATTTTTTTTATTAATAACGCATATGCTTGGAGTCTTGGGCAGATTCAAAATTAATATATTCAAATTAAAAATAAAATTATAAATTACAAAAATTAGTTTGGAATATAGTTGAGTTTGCAAGTGAATACTTTTATATTAATATTTTAAGGTACGTTTAGATGAAATGAGCGACCATTACAATTACTAAAAAAACAAAGAACATAGCGATTATTGCAATAATTGCTATGATGTTTTAAATTTTCGACTATTCTGTTTAATTAAATTATTGGTTAAGAAATAAAAGAATTGTTTACAATTATCTTCACATTTTTATTTTTCAGTATATGTGATATTTTCCCCGTCTGGATTCAATTTAACTTTCAAAAAAAAAAAAAAAGAGTTGTACATGAGAACGTAACAAATTTTGTGAATATTTGAATTTTTTGCACGACTAACCACACTTAGAAAAATTCCATTTTTGTCTGTATTTGAGCTTAATATGAATGAGAAGATTTTATTTTTATATTTTAAAACTCATTGAAATTCAAATCTTATTTCATATTTTGTTAAAATTGCACTGACATTTTCAATTTAATTTTTGAAAAACTGAAAACGTTCTATGTAATTTTATATTTTATTTGAACAAAAAATTATTTGTTGTGGTAAAAGAAATATTTTATTTTTAAGTTTTGAATTCCTTCACATAAAATATGTACCTTTAACACAATGATTTTTCTGTAATAAAAAAATATTTAGAAATTAAATATGAAAAAGTGTAATATCAAATTATACGAAAATTAAGTTTCTGGACGTGTTTTTTCAATGAAACTATTAATACAGAAATATTTTTTATGTACATATGTAAATTTTTGAATATTTCACGAAAATGAAACTTTAGATATTTAGAATTATACTAAGAAGCTGAATTTAATTTGCCGAATTTTATGTACCTAAGATCTCTTCCTTATACAATAGAAAAAAAATTGCCGCATATGCATGGTTTTGTCTTTTAAAATATAATGTACGAAATTTACGGTTATAAATCTTTAACTAAGCTTCAAAAGTTTGAATATTCGTGAATTTGTATATAAGGTTTCAATATAAATATCACAAAAAAAAAAACAATATTTTTTTATGGTATTTTCTAAAAATTTAAAATTCTGTACTTACTTTGATATTGTTAAAGGTGCAAATGACATATCAGCTGAGCCAGATATTAAATCTCCAACAATTCCATTCCAATGAACTGAAATTGAAAATTTTTTATATTATAAAAATTATTAATAAACTTTGAAGTTATTTTAAGGAAATCATATTTATACAGAGTGTTTCGCATATGATGACAAATAATTTTGAAAATGATTCTTTGTTCAATTTCCAGCAAAAAATTGTATGTAGAGGGTGTACATATATCCGTTTTCGAGTTACAGCCTGTTGAAGAAAAAAGGTACCAGCTTTTTCTTGCAAATAAATGAAGGCTTATAACTTGGCAATTACGCGATGCAGAGTAACTGTCGGGTACCTGTTTTACATAATAATTGATTGGTTTTTATTTTAAAATATTTTGCAATCGATCTTAATAAGCAATTAGATTTGAGCCATTGTTTTCGAAGCTCGTCAAAATCTGAATTTTTTGCTTTTTTATAGTTTTTGCAGTTATAAGTTTTATGAACACCTCAAATTATAATTTGACGTGTTAAAATGATAAAATTTTAAGAATTTCATTGAAAAGGGTGAAATTTTTTCTAGAAATTTTTAATAAATAATTCTCATGAATAATAAAAAATTAGTAAAAAAAATTATGGTATTTAAAATTCAAATCAAATTTTTATTTTTTACATAGGTATACTTTATGAATATTGCTTAGAGCACACATTAAGCACCACATTTCATTAACTTTTGTAACAATTTAAAAATCATGAAATTTTTCTTTACCTTTTAATTTAGATCGACGATAACCATTTTGAAAACCTTTGATCGCATCAAAATAATTCTCTCTTCTGATATCTTGCTTATCATATTTTCTTTCATCTTTATTAGCTCTATTTATATTATCCTCATAATCATCTTCATCTTCAACTATAACATCATCTTCGTCCTTATTATAGTTTTGATTTAAATTTTTATTCCGCTCGAAGCTACCTAGAACAAAAAAAAATAAAATAAAATTTTTTTTTTGTTTGAATGAACTTTGTATGTGTATACGTACATTAAATATATATTATATATATGTATGTACCGTATTATAATTGAGAAGAGGTGGCAAAAAGGAAAATTGTTATATAAGCATTAAAATTATAAAAAAAAACTTAGCCAAAAGTTGAAACAACTTAATAAGCATACACTAATAAGATTTTACTTTTAAGTGTAATAAAAATATGGAAAGGATACCAAAATGTAATTGTAGGCAAAGTAAGATAATTATAACGAAAAGGATACTTTGAAATGTGAGGTTGCTTTGCTAAAATAAGAAAAATTATATGAAATATGGAGCAGGAAGGTGGAACAATGTTATATTTAAAGGTTTGTTGGGTAAACATTCAAAGACGTTCTGTTATATTTGAACAATCCGTCATATTCTAAAGCATTTAATTTGTAAAAATAGTTGGACTTAAATAGAGTAATTGGAATGCTTAATATCCACCAAGAAGCTTGATTTCTCAAATATAGTGTTAACATAGCATTTAGCATGGAATTTATTCTAATTCAAATATGAAAATTGAATTGATTTTCTGTTTCAATTCCACAGTTAACAATTTTTTAAATCAGAATTCGCTTAAATATTTCAATACTAAATATGGAAATTATGTCCTTGCTTTAATTGCATTCCTTTAAATTTACCATATTCATAAGATGTAAGAATTTTAATATTTTTTAAACCGTATGGAATTCAATATGAATTTTAACAGTTCAATACGCATGAATGAATTTCATTTGTAAAATTCCACTTCGCTTTTATCGATCCAGTTAATTTTTCATAAATGAAAATTAAAAAAAAAAAAATTAAAAAATAAACACAAAATAATTTGGAATACTTTCAATGTTCTTTATTCAGTGTTAAGGTGAAATTTAAGTAATTTATTAAAAAATTATTGTTGGTTTTGGGTGGATTCCATTGTAATTCTGTACTAGCTGCTTTCTGTCATTTATGATTAAGTTTTATAGATATTTATGTATTATTATGAAAATATCCTTACGGTAGGTCTCAATAAACTAAATGACGCAAGAAACTGATTCACAATTATCTACTGTGAACCAACAGCCCTATGCTCCTATTGTATATGAAACTGTCCTTAATATATTCGTAAGGAAATTAAGAATTCATAAATTCGAAGAAAAATTTTTAATTTTATATATGAAATTTAAGTGAATTTGTAAAGCTATTTATGAATGTATGAAATTATGCTGAATTTATTATGGTTTCACAATTAGCGGCCTGTGAATTCGATACATTTCATAACGGCAGGCTATACCAATGTAATTTAATTCTCTATATTCTAATTTCACGATTTTCTACTCTTGTACAGAAGATGTAAATCAAAAACGTGCATAGTTGTTAATTAATATTATTTTTATGACGGTTTAAAATCAAAATTAAAATTTTTTTTGCTTCAACTTTTCGTTCATTTTGTATACTTTTCTCTTGTATTTGTATAGTCACTCAATTCAGTATGAATTTATTTCCTGTTGTGCCCTCTAGGCAATTATGATTATTGTTTTCAATTTCCATAATTAAATTTTCTTCTTTTTAAATGCAATCATCTCGTTTTTTTTTTTTTTTACTCAGTATTTTTAAAGCAAAAATTTTACTATTTTTCAGACTGTATCCTTACAGAAAACATATAGTTAACTTGTATAACAGAAAAAAAAAATGAAAACGAATAGTGTATACCTACTTCTTTTGAATTTTTATAACTTCCGGGTTCTTCTGTTTTGTTTTATCATTATTGTTATTATTATAATTTTTTTTTTTCTTAAAAACCATTTTTGTAACATTTATTCTTTCGTACTTTTACACCATTCTATACAAAATAATTATTTTTATATACACAAAATTGTATATTGTATAAAGGATCTTGTGCTTGCTTATACTTGTACACTGTCAGAATAAAAATATATAGAAAAAGAGAGAGAAGGAAAAATATTTTCCATAAAATATAAAATTTTTATGGAAAATATTTTGAACCACGACCGATGACGTACTATATATGAGAACTACAAAGAAAGTACGTTTTCATTTTTAAGTTTTTTAAGTTTTTTTTTTATCATTGTGAACGTGTATAACGTTTTTCTGTCTTTTGCTTTTGTTAGGGTACAAAGCGTAGCCTCATAACATGAATTTGGTTTATTTTTATTTTTTTTTTTTTCATATTTAAAATTTTATTTAGCATTTTTGAATAAAATTATAAAAAATAATATAAATAGAATATTATAAATAAAATTTTAAGCGTTTCAAAGTGGTTATGTAATAAAATTTCCGCAGATAATTCATTTAAATGATTTTTATATACGCCGGTATTATTTTCAAGTGAAATATAAGATGATTTATGTTTGAAACAATTTAAGATTTCTGATACTTCAAATTCTATTTATAGAACATTCGGGTTTATTATTAAAATGGAAAATATATAGAACAATAATATAGAACGGCGTCAGTATCACGAATATTTGATGTAGACTTGCTTGGAATTTATGTTTAAAATGTACCTAAATTTTGTTTTCGATTGCAACAGCACAGCACATAGTTCGAAATATTAAATTTGAAAAATCTTTAATTTAATGTGGAAAAGGTTTCAATTAACCTGAAAATTGTTATATTTTACATTTTTCTTTTTTGTTTTACCTACACTCAAAAAAAAAATATTACTACATCTGGCATAGTTTTGCAAGCTCCTATAGTGATAAAAACTGGTAGAAATCGGGATAGTACGGAAAAATAACATTTTCTGTCATGTTTTATAGTATTACATTCTTAGAATCTTAGAATTCTATACGTTGTTTTCGTTTCTAATAGAGCGATATATTATTGACAATGCCGCATAAAATTATTTACTATTAATTATAGTAATTATTTATTTCCGTCAAAACTATTATGTAACTTGAGTTGAGTTGTAAATGATTATGTGCTGTTGCAGAAAAAGCCATAATATTTAATTAAAATTTCAATGTTACGCAGTAATTTTCGAAATATTTTGTTTGTCATGCACACGAGATAAATCTCACAAGGTCAATTGAAAATATAGTCATAAAATAATAGTTATAATTTATAACGCCACAAAAATTATGTATGTCACTAAACAATAAATATGGAGGCAGAAATATTGTTAGTTTTGTAATTTTTTTTAGCAATTTCAGATATAAAGTTGGAATTATGTTTTTTGGCTACCAAATGACCAGTTTTTTCAGTGTGTGCAAGAGAATATGAATGTCGAAATTGTGCAAAATTTGTCCTACTGCAACATTATTGTACAAAATGTTTAATAAAAATACAGTCATGTATAACGTAGAATTAAGAAAGAACTGCAATGTCACTCATATTATATTGATGATCTTGCAATATAATTTGTAATAGGATACACTTTTGTTTAACAAGCTTGCAACGCCTCAAATATGAAAAAGTGGTAGTTTTCAAATATTAGAATTAAATAAAATTTGGTATTATTATAGAAACTATAATAATGATAGATATAAAAAATTCTATCTCGATAAAATTTCATATCTTATAGTGGGGTTTGAAGTGTTACAAAAATCCCTGTTTCATGAAACATAAAATTACATTCTTATTTTCTTCCCTGTTCTTTTTTTTACATTTATAAGGCAAAAAAAGAAGCGATTTATTTCATGCTCATGAATTGTGAAACTACAATATAATTAGATATTAAAAAAAAAATTATAAAGAACAACATTGTAGAGAGCATAGTAGAAATTATCGTCTGAATAAAAAATATTAAAGAAAAGCCTTATATTTTATTGTAAAATAATGTAGGAAATCAAAAACCAGAAAAACCGATTCAATAAGGTTTATGTTCTTCTTGTGAATTTTTTAAAGTATTTAAAACACAATTTAATTTTTTTTTATTTTAATACTTTGTATGAAGGGTAAATAAATTGTAATGTGATTAAAATTTTATGACAATTGCATTTGCATTTTAAATAAATTCATATTATTGTTTTTGACAATTGGCATAAAATGATATCTTTCTTGTGGTGACACGTAAGTGAAATTAAATAAGATTTTATTATTTTGAAAATTTTATGATTTTTAAAATTTTCAAATTGTTTATGATAATTTTTCAGTTTCACTCAATTATTTTTATAATTCAGTTTGTGATAGACTCATTAAAAAATAATTTAAATTTTATTAAAAATTTTCTTTATTTGAAAAGTTTAGTCCCTAATTTTTAATAATTTGCCTTTATTTAATCCTGAATGTATGCAATAATTTGATATATTTTGATGAATGTAATTAAAGTAATTTAAAGAGTTAACATCTAGTTTGTTTTAAACAAAAAAAATTTTTATTTTTTGCATGTCAAAAATAATACTTTACAAATCAAGGGTTTGATTTAAATTTATTTTAGGAAATTTCAAAAGAAAGAGTTCTCATACTGCACAATAAGAAATTTAACGACAGGAATAGAAAAAATAACGACACAATTCAAAAATATTATTTCGACTTCTGGAATTTAATGTATTTATAGCCGAGTGTAAATTACTATCGAAGGCTAAAAAATGTTGAATTAAAATTTTCTGAAAAAGTATAATAAAAGCAAGTTTGCGATTCTTCATTTTGATTAATGTCATGGTTCTCGTAAATTTGCGATATCAGATCACCTAATGTTCTAATTTAAAAGTTACTCGAAATGTTAAGAAATTTATGGAATTTCTAGCAATATTCCAACAGGAATTCAGAAAAATTGCTTTAAAAACTATATTGGAGTATACCATTTTGTATGGGATTTATGATTAACAGTCTAATCGTATATTTCGCTTCTTTACTCACTTTTCATTCACTTTCAAATCAAAATGCTCATTATTTTCTATTTGGATTAGAAAATAATGAGCATTTATAATTAGAAATAATCCAAAAACATTACTCATATTTTAAATTGGATTTTTGCATATTTTTTTTCAAATTATCGATTGAACATCTCACCTCTAAAAACTTTCAAAAATATGAAAAATTTTTTCGTTTTTGAAAAAAAAAACGAGATACGCAATGCCGAATAATTCTTCACACTCAAAAATTAAATTATAAAAATTATAAAAGTTACTCACTTTCTTCTCACTTGCCGAGTAAAATACCGAGATAAACAATTAGGCCCTAATATTACGATATTGTAGTAAGTGTAGTAAATTAATTTCAATAGAAAAATTTAACTAAAATGAATTTAAATAACAATATCGTAAATAAGTTTTAGAAATTTTTAAAATAATTTTTTTTAATTTGTTTTGATAAAATTCGAATTTTTAAAAAATTACAAATTATTTTTTTTTTATTTTTATTAAAAATAAACACCATAATTATTTTAAGAAAATCTTATTGCAACTTTTCATCAGTTCTTTAAAAATAAATATTAAAATAATTTTTAATTATTTTAGAAAAGTTTTTGTTAGATAAGAACAAAAGTAAATAACACATATGTAGTTTGCTAACGTGTATATATTTTTACGTCTGTACGTTTACTCTAAGGTAGACGGAAAACAAAATATCTGCTTGTACAACAAAATATCGTAATAATTTGTAACATGGGTTTTTTAGGAATTTAAATAAAATTTTTAAATTTTGTAAACAAATAAAACTTTTATCAGAATATTTTGTTGTTATTATTTATAAATATTATTTTAAATTGTGTGTGTGTGTGTGTGTGTCTGTAATGTAAGGGTAGTAACATCGTACTTATTTTATTTACATAAAACATTTACATGTTTTACATATTTTACCTATTAAATATTTGTCTTTAGTACTTTTATATATTTGTTTAGTCTTTGGAACAAAATGTTCAAAATTGAAAAAAAAAAATATTATATTAAATATTAAAAATATTATTATGAATATTTAAATAAAAGAACTATATATACTTTGCCTTTTAAAAGCTTGTTAAAAATAATTATTAAATGAAGCTAAGAGATGTAAAGGAATTCGAAACTACGCACTTAATAGTATAACAAAAAAATTAAAGAAAAGAAAAAATAAAGGTCTTTTATAGTTTTTAAATTTAAATTGTCTAGAAGAATTTTTTGTTTGGTTTCCTTATTCCGGCATATAACCAGCAGTACACGTATAAAAAACAAATATTTGCAAAAAGAAAATATTTAAATCGGAAAAGTAAAAAAGTAGGAAAATATTATTAAAACCAACAAAAAAGAAATAAATATGGGAAAGGAAAAAAACTAAAAAGAAAAAATATGAAAATAAGAAATTTGAATCCTTTTTTTTTTCCACCCAAAAAATTTTTCGGGTGTATATGCAAAGTTTCTAATTTGTTTTAATCTTTAAGAGAGTTATAAAGTTAAAGGAAAAATTACAAAAGATAAAAGGGTTCAAATCGATTATTATAATCAGTTAAATATATGCATGTATACATATATATATATATATATATATATATATATATCTGCATGTAGCCATTTTAGATAGTAAACATACATATATATATTAATGTTAGTATAGGTTCCTTAAATTATTTATAAAGTTAACCCTGGAAAAATTTGGAGAAAAAAAAACATAATTTTGAAAAAATTGAAATTCAATATTTTAAAAATTTATGCATATTTTGAGGTTGGTTATAAATTCCATTATATATATATACATACATAATTATATATGTATTTACATATGATTATCAAAATCATTAAATATTATTAAAGAGAGATTTTCTATTTATTGGGACTGTTCTAGGTTTTAAATTCATTGAAATTGAAAATTTTATGTTAAAAAATGAAGAAGAAAATGAACATTTAAAATTAAAATTTTTGTATAGACCTCAATTAATATAATAAATTTATTTAATTTAACATAATTAGTGTTAAATTAACTTAAGAGATACTACGATGCAAAAATATTAATATTAAAATACAATATTTAAGTGTGTTTCTAAGAGTATTTTAAAATTTTTTTTAAGGCGATTAAAATGTAGTAACAAATTTTTGCATACTGTTCGCCTAAATATATGCAAATTTAAATTTTTTTGTTAAACTTTCGCTAATATAAAATTTAATTAAAATGTAGCTATTTAAAATAATTTTTTTTTTTTTACCGCTTTGAAAATTTCGACTATCTGGTGGTGGATAATGAATTCGATTTGTATAATGATCTTTTTGTTGCTGTTGATATTGCTGTTGTTGTTGTTGTTTAAATGCTTTTGCATCTGTTTGAATATTTTCATCATCATTAATTATTCTATGATTTATTTTTTTATCAGTTGGTGGGAAAAAATCATTTAAATTATTATATTTAGTTCCAAATAATTCATCTCGTACAATATACAAATGAAATTCAAATCCTAATTCAGTTGCAATATTATCTAATAAATCCATAGATAGACCATAACAGCATTTTGTACTGAAAATATATAAAAAGAAAAAAAAAATTAATGTAAATGTATGTGACAAATGTAAATGAATAAAATAAATATTGTGCTATCAGATGATTGTCTAGGCTCTAATTAGTATATCCTGTTGCAAAGAAACTCAGAAATGGTTGCGATTAAACTTTGTAGCTGAAAATTAATACTTGTTCTCTTAATAACTACCTATAATACGAAAACTTAAAAGAATGCGTTTAAAATTCATCTATTGAAAAATGCAAGTTTCACAAGTTTTATTAAATGTCACAATATGTAAATGACAGAAAATGAATTGAATAATTTGTTTTTTAATTGTCCAAACACAATGTTTAAAAAGTTTATCTTCTAAATTTTCATTTTTTCTATACAATTAATCCAAATACATTATAGGTGAAAAATTTTAGCTTTCTTTATGTACTTTGTGGAAGAAAAACTTAACCTGATATATTTTTCATTTTCATTTTCTTCTTCTTATTTTTCTTTTAGAACTTTTAAGATTTTTCTTTTTCTACAAAATTTTTCTCTAACACATTTTGAATTTAACTTTTTTCCTTCTTATGTACAAATCTAAATTCAATTTCTTATTAAAGGAATATTGTATTATGTTGAAGAACACCTACATCATATTGTATTGGGCTAGGTACATATAGTGTAGAAAACCAGTGAGACAAGGCGAAATAAAGACGAGAAAATAAAAAAAAAAAACTTTTTAACTTTTATTATTGTTTTTCATGTTTTTGTTTTCTGTTTTGATTTTATTATTGCTTCTCTTGTTTTGTTTGGTTTTTTATTTAAACAAGAAATTTTTTAAGGAGAACACGTGGATATGAAAAGTTTATGGAAACATTTCCAATGTTTAATATTATATAGAGAAAGAGTATGAGAGAAAAAAAAAAGTAAATAAATTGTTAACGAAATGGTTGGTAGCTTGTTTTGTTTTTTCTTTTTTTTTCTTTCTTATGTTTTTTATTGCAATACAAACTTATATACAAGATTTCTTTCTTGTTAAATATTGAAATTTTTCAAATCAACACCAATCTCATTTTGTAAAACAAATTTAAGTAGTAAAGTTGTATAAGCTAATCATGTGCATTATTCATAAGCAAAAATTGATTTTTGTATTAAAAACTACATAATGGCTTTTTAAAAATTTGTTGTTGTTTGTCTAAGGCTATAGTACTTCTTTAATGGTGAATTTTGTAATATGTTTCGATTTTCGAATAATAACTTAAAATTTCATTTTAACCTTTTAGTTGCAGAGTAAAACTCATTATAAGTTAGCTAATATACAAGGTCCTGGTATTTTTTTGCTAACCAAGCCCGTTAGAATCATTATTACAGCACCGACATCCTATTGTCAGAGCCCTAATCCTTACTGCCTCCTCCTCCATATATGATAATGTAGTGATCCGGTAAACGGAAAAAGGACTCAACATCCATCTGCTCAGAAGAGACTTCTTCACCTGCCCTATAAAAATGGACGGAACCATCCCTGGTTCTCGCACTGTTCAGCCGGGTTTAGCTCGCCGGAATTGAAGTCCGAAAGTTCTTCGTGAATAAGAGCACAGGAGGAAAGGAATAAGTCTGCAAAAATGGAAGCATGTCCGCTAGAGTTATTTGACCATTAAAACGCAGTTCCCAGTCTAATTGCATAATTCCACCGCCATCTGCTGACCCAGTTTAGACGGTAGATGGAAGAGAATACGTTAATAGTCTGAGTATATATTACTCGTATGACTATATTATAAGAAAAATTGTTTCTATTTCAAAGTCTGCCTCAAATCAGTTTTATTCAAAAAGTAATCTTTACTTTGAATTTACAAATGAAACGGCCACAAAATTTTATAAGCGTAACAATGGAATTTTCCAGACATGTGATAAATCTCGTAAAGCTAATCAATGAAAGATAATCTAAAAATCGATTTTTAATAAAATATTTTTTTCATCACTTTTAATATTGCGGCAGTATAAAAAATTGCCCGCTTGTAGAAAAGTTTGCAGTAAATCAAAAACGAAATTCAATTTTTTTTTTATTTGTTTTCAATTTTGCTTCTCTCATTTCTAAGTATTTAGAGTTTTTTTTTTTTATTTTGACTTAATTGGACTTTACATTTTAGAAAATGGTAGAATTTGATTTTTTTTTTAAAGATTTCTAATAAATGTCGAAATTGAAGAGGAAAAGTTCAAATAAATTTTGATTGTCTTGTTTTGTTTGTTTTAATTTTCTTATACCGTATAGAAGGTATATGGAAAAACGAATTCTTTGGTATTTGTATGTTATTTGTATGTACCTATAAAATAAATAGATTTGTATTGTTTTTTTTTCTTTAAGGAAAAAAAAATTAACTTTTGATTTATATTTTTTAAAATGCTTACGGAATTTTCATTAAATTCTTTAAAATTATTTAAAATCATCAAAATAAAGATATCTTTAATACCGTAATATTTGAAATCCCAAGATTATCCTGGTTCAAAAAAATAATCGTAATCAGTGGAAAACTTACAAGAATTTTCAATATTAGCAAAGATTACCGATTTAATGGCACTAAAATCTCCTTACTTAGCCTTAAGTTACTGGTTCATTCTGGAATTTTAATGCATGAAGGCTCATTAATTGCGGCTGGTTTTTCAATTTACTAAAAATGGGAACAATTTGGAAAAAGAAAAAATCCACGATTATGAATGTCATTACGGTAGCGAACAAAAATAAGTTAATAATTATAAGTAGTTATAATATGGGGGTTCTAGATATAATGTGTATTGGGGTTCTAGATATAAGTGTCACTCTAAACGGATGCAATAATGTACATATATGGTGGTTCTAAATATGGTGCCATTTTCAAAAGGCCTACTTCAATTTTCGTCATTGCATACTTTTAGGGTGATACTCCCGCCTACTTTTATCGAAGACAACAACCAGATGATACATATCTAAAGCCCCCATATACATTATTGCATTCGTTTAGGATGACGCTTATATCTAGAACACCCATACAGATTATATCTAGAACCCCTTATTCTAACTACTATTATATTCTTGTTTAAACTCCAATTACCAAATATCAGACGCACATGCTCAAAAAAGTCCGAATCTATCCACTGAAAGACACATTATTAGCTGTTTTATAAATTTTTTGTCTATCTTATTACTCATGGAACGTATTCCTTGTTGACACGCTTAACTATATTATATTTTTTCTCATTATGAATAAAATTTAATAGCAATAATTTTTAATCAAGTCTATATAAAATTTATTATCATTTTATTAAAATTTCAAATTCATTTTTGGTTTTATTATAAAGTAAATTATTATATTTTGGTTATACTTTGATTGTCTTATACAAATTTGGTTAAAATTCAATTATTTAACTATACATTATATGAAATCAAACATGTATGTATGTATGTGTATAATAAAATACAAAATTCAAGTGAATAATTAAATTTTCCTTTTACATGTTATGTGCATGAAATGAGAATATCATGTCGAGACATCTAAGAAATCAATGTCCTGTGATTTGTTTGAAATTATATTCTTTATATTTTAATATTATATGATGATAAAGAAAGGATGGTAAAAAATAATAATAATATAAAATATATATTTATGTATGTTTGAGAGAATATTTTTATAGATATTTCGTATAAAATAAATTTTATTATAATTTATGAAATGAATTTTATGTATACTTGATTGTTGGTATTCTGGTTGCATTGACAGACTTCATTAATCATTAAAAGAATTTCATTCAATTGGAAACTATTTTAATATATGACATTTATATGTAAGTTTATGGTTAAAAATGATAATGACTCTTTCATCATATTATATCAAGAGAAAAAAAAACAGGATTCTCTGCGGTTAAGGAATATAGCTGCATTTTAATTTGATAATAAAAAAGTTTTTTTTTTTTTTTAATTTTCACAATAAAGTATGTAATAAAAATAATTTGAATGAATAAGTGTAAAAATAGAATTTTAAATAATATTAAAAATTTTTTGTTCTGAAGATCTAGTTTGGCAATATCAAGATTTATCACAGTTAAATTGCGTAATGAATTGTAATTTAGAATATAAGTTTTTGGATTTTAAATTTTAGTCTACTATTCTGAACATATACGTAAAGTAATTTGAATAAAATACTTTATTTTGTTGAAGCGAAATGAAGGGATTTTATACATATAGTTGCATTTCGTTCCATTAATTTAAAGGGTTTCTGAATATTTAATTTAAAATGGCATTTGTCATTTTAATTTAATTTAAAATTTAAGTTTTCAATTATAGATTGTGTTCAAGAATTTATTGATTTAATTAGGTCTTCTTCTTTTTATAGGACTATGTCCTATTCATTCAACGGAACCTTCAGAGGGACTATGTATTTTCGTATATTTTCTCTCAAACCACGCTTTCTCTATCTCGTTTGAACTATAGCTTGTACGTGATATTATTTTCTGATGTCGGCGATTCTGACTCGTTCTCTGAGTGTTTTACCATTTATTTGCAGTAAGATTTTCATTTCAGTGATTCGCAATAACTATTTGGCATTCTAGAGCATAACATAGTTACACGGCATAGTAGAGCAAATTTAATTAGGTGCCTGTATAAAACTTTTGTTGGCAATTGTAGTTTTAAGATTCAATGTACATAATTATAGCTTTAAATGATTTAATAATTATTCCCAATTAAATAGGTAAGAAAAATTATTTGAATTATCAAAAAACAATTAGTACATAAACATGGAATTTTTTAAATTTTATTGCAAATATTTCGTAAAATTTTTGAATATTGTGGTTTTCTCATGAATATTTTAAATATAGGTAATCATTGTTTTCATTTACTCATAGATTCGACATTTTTTTTTTGGTATGGTTCTAATTTTAATAATAATTTGTTTATATTATAAAGGTACTTGATTGTTATTCAAATCAGAAACCAAGAAAAAGGTAATAAGGTTCTTTATAATGATGACGTTGTAAATTTTTATTCTATGCATAAAAGCATGACGCAAATTATTATTTCTCCACTCTTTGTTTCTTTTTTTTTTTTTTTTGAATTTAATAACCGAAATCAAGGACCTTTTATATATGAATGTCTTCGTCAAAATCGTGTTATCTTTCAGAAAACAAAAAAAACAAAATATAAGGCTTAAATTTAAATTTCAAAGGTATATTAAGGTCTTGAATGCATAAATTTTACAAAATAGCCTACTAAAAATTCAATGTATACAAAATTTTATGATTTTTTTGTTAACTTTATACTTTTCATTTCTCTCCTTAGAATTTCAATTTTTTAAAATGCGTTTGTTGTTTTTTCCAATGAGAATTTTCTAATAATCATTCATTCTCATTACAATTCATATCACATAAAAGTTCAAGTTTTTAATTTTGCAATCATCGTAAAATCAAATTAGCCCATACACAATAAATATGTGTATATGTATATTGATAGATATGTACATATGAATTGTCTTGTACATATAATTTGAATATTGAATTTAGACATTTCGCTAAAAAATGATTGTAAGCAATGCTAAATGATTGCTAATAAAATTTTCATTTCTATATAAAGAAAATTAAACCATTGCTTAAATAGATTATTGAATAATTTAATGCTTTATACATTATGTAATTTTCAATAAGGTTTTTATATACGAGTACATATATAAAATCACTTAAGGATTCATTCATTAAATATTAAATAATTCAGACAGAAAAGCTATAAAATAAATTACTTTTAATTTTTTAATACAATAAAATTAAGAAAATATTTAGATTCTATTATTTAAAAAAATTAATAAAATTAAACTTACTTATACAAATTATGATCATAATTATCATCGTCTATTCCATCTGGTGGTTTAACTCCATGTTCAACAGCATCCTCTTTCAGACGGTACATTGTTTCGATAGCATTAAACATTAATGTTAAATTATGATCTGAATTTGGTGATAATCTATGGCATGGTAATCCTCTGAGACATAAACCATCTTCATCCATTTCTGATTCCATTACAAATGGTGGTGCTAAGGCAGTTACAATACGAAATGTAGTTCTAGCTCTTGCCGAGAGACCTAAAAAAAAAGCCAAAAAAAATATATATTTTTTTTTAAGAAATAGCGTCTATACTAAATAAATTTTTATAATTATTTTTCAAAATAAATATGATTTATATAAATTAAGTTTTTACCTGAAACTACAACATCACCTCCCGGCCATACAATTGTATCCAATTGAACATTAGTACCGGATACAATACCAACACGACGCCATTTTGCTAATTGATTTTCTGGTCTTTTTGTTATTTTTGTTAAAATTGGATCAATATCATCACCAAACATTAAATTAATATTATTACCATTACCACTATTACTGACACTACCAACATTATTAATGCCACCATTGCCATTACTATTACTATCATCGGGTACTAAATTAAGTAATTCAAAATTTGTTGTTAATGGTTTCTCTAAAGTGCCATCTTCTAAACGTTTTCCAGATAATGCAAGTTGTGTTGCTTCTTGTAAAGCTCTAAAATAAATTATATATGAAAAGAAATAAACAATATTAGTGATATTATTAGTGAAACTTGATAAAAATTGTTCAAATTTTAAATTTTTGAATGAATATTGGTATTATAAAAGATAAAAATAATTAAAATATCAATTATTATTATTATATAAGAAAATACTTCAAATTATAATATAAAAAGAAAGTTGGTTGAAGTTTCGTTTACTGAGTAGTAATACTGAACTGTTCATGGAAAGAACTTCTGGGTTTTTGAAGCAGAGACTTTATAGTTACAAATTAATCGAATGGAAGCCGTTTCAGGATTTATAACACGATAAACAACTGATTACAATCTCGCTAATAAGTATATTTGCAATTAAGTAAAAGATATGACAAAAGCGTCAAATCAGAATAGAGCAAGCAATAGTTCCATTGCACAATAATTCCAATAACCATCACAAATAATACCATGTTCATCTTCTTATTAATTATGGAAAATTTTAATTTTTCATTTTTAATCAATTCAATAAAAATATTTTAAATTTATTAATAATTTCCATTTAATTTAAAAGAAATTTATTAAACCAAAGAATATTTTATAGCAATTATGTAATTTTAGGGAAAACAAAAAATTATAATGTGCTGCCTTGAAAAATAAATTTTAATTTATGTATTTGGAACTAATTGGCGACAATAATTTTTATTATCACTTTTGTTTTTTTTTTGTTATTTTATATAATTAATTTGCAAGTGAATATTAATAGTATTAAAAGTATAATAAATAAAATATAAACTTGTTCTTTAAGTATACATAGGTATGTATAATGTTCAAGTTCATTATAAAAACTGTAATAATGTTTAAGAAGACAAAGAAGAAGGTAAAAATTCTAAAACTCTTTTTTAAATTTGTGAAAAACAAAAAAAAAAAAAATATTCAGAAAACAATTTTATAAGTTTTTTGTTCTTTAATTAATTTACTTCGTATCGTCTTCCATCACATTCAATTTAGGCTAAATTAAAATTTACGTACCTTTATGTTATATAACATGTACAAATACACTGTTATACAAAAATTTTTTATATAAATATTTTACCTTATCATATAGATAATGGAAAAATTTGCCTTCCACTCAAACTCTTTGTAAAAAGAAAATTCACTATCTTATTCATGTTTACACTTTGATTATTATATAACTTTATATACCATTATATAAGTGGTACAATGTCGCGGCAGTTAATTTTAGAAAAAGTTGTTTTTTTCTTTGTTCAAAGTTTATTATTCAAGTATATTATGTATTAATGTGTGTATTTGTATGTATAATATTATATATAAAATATTTTATATATTTTTATTTGAAAACGATCCTTTAATTGAGTAGAGAGCACTTAATATCATGAAAAAGAGTTATTAATTTAATGATAAAATAATTTTTGATTTTTATATTTATATATATACATAATATACATACATATGCTGTAGTTCTAGGTAATTAAAATTACAGGTGATAAACAAAGGATTGAGTGAAATTGTATAAGACAAACGGATATCATATAGGAGCACATTTTTATATGGAGCAATTGAAAATATTTTTGCTTTTAACAAGTAATATTCTATATTGAGAATTTTTATCGTTTTGCTAATATCGTATATTAATATGCAACAATAAATTGTAGCACACATTCAGGATGAGAATAATGTTAATGAAATTCGTGTACGTAGATTTCTGAGAAGAATCAATTTTTATATAAAATTTTCATTTTCATTCTTAAAGAATTGTAGAGAAGTTCTGTAACGAACTGATTGGTGTACTTAATATTAACAATGACTGATACCCATTTTGTTCACTTTTGGTAGAAATGTGCTAATATTTTTAGTTTAAGAATAATTTGAGTATTATATTGAGAATTTTTATAAATATATTTAAGAATTGTCCTTCAAAATAGCTTTTCCAAATAAAAATTTTTCTGAATTTGAACTTTTGAACAATTATTTTACACTTATAACAATCCAATTAATTTTGGGACCCTTTTCTTTAATTTAAAATTAAAATTGAACCACACACACATGAGGGATTATTTTAATTGCTATATAAAATTTATTTTATAAAAATTGGCTTTTGTTTGGTTATTTTGAAGTTCAATAACATTTTCTCCATTGTCTGTGTAATTTCTTTTTTTTCTTTTTTTAAATAATTTATCTAAGTAAGTATGCGGTTAAACCAAAATTTCTTTTAAATTTGTATGACCACATTTATTTTCATTAAATTTTTTGAAAAGAAAAAAATTACCGCGTTAAATAAATTTCAATATAAAATTGAACATATTGAAAATTTGTTAAAAAGACAAAAACAAAAAATGCAAAAAAAAAACCAAAATCAAATCAAAAATTTATTGAAAAAGAAAATTTTTATTTTTCTTTTTTTTATTCAAAATTTTCAATTTTTTTTTTGGAATAAACAAAAGAAAAAGTTAAAATAAAAAAATAAATTAATTTTTATATTTTAAATAGAAATATTTTTTTTTTTTTTTGTTATCACCATAAAATTTTCCAAAAAGGATAACCAAAATAAAAATAAAACCACATAAAAAAACTAAAATTTTTAGTTTGGAAATAAAAGAAAAAGAAATGAGAGAGAAAATTGTGTAAAAGAAAAGCAATGAGCAATTGTCCAACATCATCACATAATCCTTCTCCATATATACATATATGAAATGAAAATAATAATAAAAATTCCATTTTCTTAAAATAAAATAAAAGAAAGAACGTTTTATGAAAAGGATTTTGAATTTTTAAAAGGATCTTTCTTTCTTTTTGTTTTTTCTCATTATATTTTATTCGTTTCAATTTATATGTATGGCAATTATTTTATGATTGTGGTTTAAATTATGGCAACTATTAGTTACTAACTTTAAAAGTAGTTCTAAAAATCGTAACCATTGAAAATTTTTTAATATTTCTTATCCGAGTGTAGCGAATATTTTGTTTGATTCTTGGTTTTTTTTTCAGTGTATTCAGATTTTTTAAGTTTACTCTTATAAAAGTACTTTGTGAAAGTACTCAATATAATCAGACAAAAACAGGGTTAAAGTAACCGGCTAAAATAAAAGTAAAAGTAAGGCTAATAAAAGTAAAGCTTTCGAAGATGTAATAGTATAATTTTTCATTTTAAGTGCATGAATTACTGACTTATCAACAAATATTCAGTGTAATTATCAGGGATATTATTAATAATATCCACCAATTCTCTAATGATATTTATTTTCTTCCGACTATTAGTTATTTATACCATTGGTTTTAACTCTTGTTGTCTGTTTCCAGATCCATATTTTCATGCGAACTACCCTCCTTTACATTTAATATCATTTGTATGAATATTAAGTGTTAAAATATTTGATGTTCGTATTTATAAAAAAATAGAGAGAAAATCGTGAGAAAAAATTAAAGTTTAACCCTTAACCGACTTCACCTTGAAAGATAATAGTAAATTATACACCACCCACTTTTTTTTTGTAATTAATTGCTTATATTTTTCTCTCTTACTTTCATATTTTCTGTTCCTTTATACTGTTTTATGCTCTCTTATACTCAGTGTCAAATTTCTTATAGTGCTTAAAATACTAATATAGAAATTAAGAAAGGGGTGTAACAATTAATACCAACTCGTCGAATCTATTAAAAATTTCACCTCGTACTTTAAAGGTTAAGATAAGGCACTATGAAAATAATAAATGAATAGTAAGGCGACAAGAATTATTTTATTTAAGAGTGTAAATTGATTCTTAAATTTGTCTTTTGAATTTAATTACTAAATAACACCACATTGTTAGTATCTCAATGAGCTAAGGAATATCGTTGGTAACCATAAGTTAAATTTTATTTTAAAAATTATTTTAAGTAGTCGGTGCCACTGATCAAGTTAAATAATAACTTGATACCTAATTAAGATATCCAATGTATTGTTGAAGCTTTCTTTATCTTTTATTTATTTATTTATTTTTTTTCTCGATTTAATTTCTTAACTTCACTTTTATATATGTATATATTTTTTGTTTTCCTAAATAGAGTCAATTTTTCTTAGTTGACTGAATTTGGTTATTAGTTTTTTTTTCTTCTTCTTTCTGAATTCTTAGAAACTATTTAAGGTTTGCATATAAGGTTTGAACTTAAACACAATATACTATATAATAGTTATGGGAAGGGGAAAAATGTATATGAAAATTAAAATGAATTTTTTCTCTTATTTAGAAATTAAATAAAATGAAAATTCCCTTGGGTACATTCTAAAAAAGCAAGATGTATATGCAAACTATAATAAGAGAAAAGTAATATTCTCCTTATATAGGGAAAGAGCATCAACATCTTTATGGCTATATAGATGGTATAGAAAAATTTTCTTTTTGTTTTTTAATCATAGAAAATTTAAGAAACAAAAAAACAAAAAAAAAAAAGTGAAATATAAAACACAATATAGTTAGGAAAATTTTTTTAGTAACGCTTTAAGCTAAAACATATTTTCCTTTCTTACACTTAAAGTTAAATAAAATTTAAATTAAAAAACTACTGTATAACAACTATATAATTTTCTTAAAAGTTTAAAAACTTTAAAATGTTATCCTTTTATGAGAATTTTTTTTATTCAAAAGAAAACTAATAAAATCTGAAATCACCTAAAGGATAATGGAAACAGAAAAAAAAAAAGGAAAATGAAATTTTTTTCGTTTTTGATTATTGTACTTCGCCATTTAATTCGCACTTATAGTAAAAAATTTTCAGAATAGCTTTAAGTGAAAGCGGATTAATTGCTTTTAGTTTGGTGAGATCTATTATGGGTTTTGGTCAACAAACAAATTGTAATTTATTTGATATTGTCGTCTCATTTATGCTTAACTACAAATTGAATGCTATTCCATTGCTAACAAGCATCGTACTTCTTTCAATTCCTCTACCTCGTTATAATTTTAGAAAATTTTCCTCAATACCTTTCTTTGACATTATAAACGTAAACGAGCCGTCATAAAAC